CTTAAGTTTTAAAAAATTAATAAAATTAAGAAAATATTTTAATTTAATTATAATCTTAATAATAAAAGAGTCTTTCTTACTTTTTTTTTAGTATTTTATATATTTACACTTAAAGATATTAACTTTTATAGCGTAAAAAATTTTAAGAAAGTATTTAAAATTTAAAACCTAAAAGTAATAATAATAATTAAAGTTTTTAAATAATAAATAACTTTATTCTCTTTAATTTTATTCTCTTTCTTAAAGAATAAGTAATATTTCTTAAAGTCTCTCTTTACCTTTATAATAAATGTAAGTTTATTATAATAACTTACCTTACCTAAAGTAATTATATTATATAATAGTTTAATTACTTTAAATAAAATGATTAACGCCTAATAAAATTCTTTGAAGTAATTTATAATTAAATATAATACCCTTATAAATAATATCATCTTTAATAAGTTTAATTTAACTTTATCTTATTACTTTCTTTTTTTTCTTATTACTTTAAGATTACGCTATTAAAAAGTTAATTTAATACTACCTTTAAAATAATATAATTAAGATTAAAAACGTACTATATAAACGTGTTTTAACTTTATATAGCTTCTCGTTTTTTAATTAATACGATAAAGATTTTATTCAAAGCTTAATAATAAATAAGAAATATTATAAAGAAATTAAACTAAAAATAATAGAAAGTTAAATACATTAACTTGTAAATCTATTAATAATAATAGGTATTATATTATATAAATTAAAAGCACGTAAGTTAAAGCTAGCTTCCCCTTATACTAGATACCTAAAATTCCCTCTTAGATAATAGTACGAGATATCTTACTATAATAGGTTATTTAGTTAGTTAATACGATAAATACTTTTAGCTTACTTTATAAATATTAGCCGTATTAAATAACTAATATTTATAGTATTAAATTTAATAAGTAAAATTACTCTTACTATTATTATAATTATTTCTAGCGCTATAAAGTATAGTCCTTTTAATATAATATAAAACACGCTTAAGAGTATTTAATTACTATTATTTTTATGATTAATTAAACTCTTCTTAAATAAGGGATTTAAGTTATAGTAGTATAATTACCTATCTTATAAGATAATAATAAAGGCGAGGTATTAGTATCCTGTAACACCTATTTATAGGGTAGCGCTAGTAGTAGATAATTTACCGAGATTAAAGGTATAACGGGCTAAGCCGCTTGAACCGCAGCTGTGCCACCTATCACTAACTCCCCTAGCGGGTAACTCTAAAACCTTCTGTAGAGGCGTATTTGGAAGATATAAGGCGCTATTATTATGCCACGTAGTATGTAGACTTTCTTTTCTTCTTTATTTCAATAGTAAACAGCTTAGGGACTACTAAGGTAGTATCTAGAGCGTGTAGCGTAGGCAGCTTTAACCTTAGCTATCTCGTTCTTCCTTATCGCCAGAGCATTAACAAGAAAACTACATTCTCATTTTTTTTAAGCTTATAGTATAGAATTTATACTAGTTATCCGTAAAACTTATAATTCTATAAGTATTTTATTAGATTTAATATAAATTTTTATATTTGAAACTACAAAAACTATAAAACTATAAAACTATACTACTTCCAATGCTCTGCTTATCGCACATTACTTGCTCTATACTTCGTAGCCCCCTCTATAATTAGCGTACTTCTTAAAGACGCTCTTATTAGACTTAGTAAGATATTCCTAGAATGTATATTCTTAGGCGTAATAGCCGCATCTTATTATTACCTTACACTAGGTTCCTATATAGCTATATCCTTAATAGTTAAAGCATTATCTTAGTTAGTATAACCTATCGTATAACTTACACTAAAAGACCTCCCCTTATTAGATAAGGCCTTTATTAATAATCTTATTAGCGTTTTATAGTCTCGTAAACTTAATAATAACTAAGAAAGTAGTCTTTATAGTAAATGTTCTTATAAGCTATCTAATATATTTTATTCTAGTATTAGGGATAAAAGGTTTATTTTCCTATAAAATATTATTTTTAATATCTTTAAACTAGCTTACATTTATTAAGTTAATACGAATACTATATATAAGAATACTATATATAGGGATACAAATAGTAGCTCTATTACTAAGCTAGTACTTCTAATCTTTAGCGAACTATTAGAGTGCTTTTATATTACTACCTAAGGCTATCTTAAATTCTTAATATTAAGGTTACTACTTTTAAGTTAGTTAATTATTCTTAATATTCTTTATATATTCGTTTTTACTTTATTTTATAGTATAATTTACGTGTGCTTTTAAGCTATAAGAATTTATTACTTATAGGCTTAATATAGTAAGCGGGTTTTAAATATTTACTATAATCTTATAAAGCACTTATATAAGTAATACCTTATATTAGTTTAATAGATTATATATACTAATAGCTAGCTTATTCCCTACTATTATAAATACGTAACTTTATATTAGGCTTAGTTAATTATACTAGTTTATATTCTTTATCTCTCTTATTATTACTAGAATTATTCTACCTATATCCTTTAATTTTAAGGCTATAACCTTTATCTTATTTTATACTTTATAGCTTATATAAATTCCTTTTAATATCTACTAGCTTATGTTAGCTACCTATTTAAGTTTCTTTTTAATGTTATTAAGAGCTTATATTATACTTTTTATTATAGTCTTTGATTTAATTCTTATTATTTAAAGTGTATTGTATATAAAGCTAAAGTCTAAGACGTTATAAATCTTATTAATAAGAGATAATACGCTTATAGCTATAATCTTAATTAGCTTATAAGGAACGGGTTAATCTTTCGCGCGTTTAATATATAATAGAGCGTTCTTAAGGTATTTATTAAGTTACGTAACGTACTTATAAAGTCTAGTAAGCTATACTACTACTTAGGGCTATAAGGTTACTATAATCGTCTAAAAACGCACTAGGTAATGCGTTTAACTATAGGCTATTCTATAACCCGTTAAGGAGGCGGTAAGTGCTATTTAGAGCTGCTATTTTAAAAATTCGTTCTCGCTATTATGAAAAAGTTTTTTTCGCCGTAGTTTAAAGTCTTACTCCCCGCATCTGCCCAACTAACTGTTGAACGTGAAACAGCATCACATGCAGGGTCCAGCCTGCGCCTTCCATAAATAGCCTACCCCGGCGGCATCTCTAGGTTACAGAATCAACGCAATCTTTCATCTGTGTTCCGCTGTGACGTTTAACACTTACTTGCCTTCTCCACTCTAACGACATTCTTGTCCAATAGGGTCCACAATCACATGACTTGCGATGTGTCAGGCACAACCCCGCACCAAACCTGAAGTTTGGCGCTTTCACTTCTGCATGACGAAGTTTATCCCGGCTGCGACATAACAGTAGCGAAGTCGTCTCCCTCGAATATAAGATTTCAGCTTTCCTCTACGAATTTCCCACACATGAGTCCTGAAACCACGATCGAAGACCAGATCTGGGCAGAAGATCTCGACGATAACGAGCGCACTGTCGTGGAGGGGCTGCACGATTGGTTGGCCAGAAACGAGCGTGCACGGTGGAAGCAAAGCAAGCACGGCATTGAGCTATGCCAAGAACAAGAACTTTATGACCTCGCCAGTCCAATATTGCCAAAAGTTCGACCGGCTCCGACTCTCCGAAAACAGTCTACATACTAACTTGCATAGGACGCCAAAAATGCAATTTTCCGAACAAACTCCACGTGGCAGCTCAAAGAGTCTGGAAAGTTGATTCCAATTTATGCAAGCGAAGGATGTTCTATTACCTATAAGTCAAAAAAGTATTCTTTAGAGTATGGGAAAAAACTGCACCTTCCTACGCAAGTTACGCTGGAAGTTGCTGAACAGAGTATGCCCTACCTACTTTGGATAGTTCAATGAACGCTGTACAAGAGATAGATTCTTAGTGTACTAATTGTTGAGTATACCCTATCGGAGTATACATTCCTGTGCTGACTGTTTTTGTCGATATTATCTAACTTGTATTCTCCTGATCGTGTGTGTTCGACGACTAAGGAAGTGGCCAACCTGAGGTTGTAGCACTTCCAGACGGAACATCTTGTACTTCGCAGTTCATCTCAGAGTTCTGCAACAGCGCGTCTATGCTCAGTAAAGGTGGACTGACAAAATTATCCGCACATAACGGTTGAAGTAGCTCTTCTATGCTCAGTGATGGTACACCGACAAAGTCTGTACCTAACGGTTGAAGTAGCTCTTCTATGCTTAGGGATGGTGCGTTTCCGGGCCCATTCGGATGAGACAAGTCGCCTGGGCTTGCATTCAAATGGCCCAAGCTCGCCGCATCCGAGTAAACTCGCTGGTCGATGGGCAATGGGTTGGGAGGATCGCGTCGTTCTCCCGATTGGAGCGAGAAGCCAGCCTCAGTTGCGCAGGCAGCTGAAGCAAGAGCTATGAGCTGTCCTGTGTCGCAAGAGTTTTCCAGAAAGCGGCCACTGTCATCAACTTCTAAAGGCTGTGTGTTGACCTCATTGGGAGCAAATTCGATTCGGGACCGCTTCGAATTTCCTCCGGTTTGACATTGGTTCGCTCCTCTTTTGCTCGAGCCTGACCCAATATTAGGCATCCAAAGAATCTTTTGATGGAACTTAAGTAGATCTCTCGCCATATTGTCGGCTCCCGTAGCCTTAGCCGCTTCGATGATTCCGATTTTTCGGAGGTGTTGGATAGCGTGTTTTTGGTCTTCTCCTACGAGTCCATATGTGTCCCACCTAATAAATTGTCAGCGAGATAAAGGCAAGAAAGGCCAGAGGAAGGGAACGTTGCGCTTACATAGAGTTTGGTAGAGAGGATAGAAATAATGCTCCGTAATCGATGGCAATAATATCCTCATTTTCGTCACCATCAAAGCCATCTGATCGCTCAGATTGCATTAATTTCTTGCAAAAGGACACAACTTTCTTGCCACGTCTGATGATGGTGCCATAGGTCTTAACTTCTTCTTCAGATACCGGAAGCCCCAATCGCCGTAAAAAGAAGCCAACACGGTCGTCTGTCACATAAGTTGAGTGTTCTTCGCTTACCCGTTTAAAGAGGGCGTAAATCTCGATAGCGACAAATCTCTGTAAAATCTCTTGGTCCATGATTTGAGCATCTAATTTGGCTGCGCTCAAGACGAAATAGCGCGCTCTGTTATTAGAGACGTCGCTATACTTTAGAGGTTCTAGAACGGGCCACTCCCAAAATTCGAGAGGGTTGAGTTGCCATCTGGCGAAGTTGCTGGAGACTTTCTCCAAATCTTTCCGACAGTCAATTTTTTGGATCTTACCATAATTAACACTGGAGGTTTTAGATCCTTTGCAGGTCCTGCAAAACCTGCTTTTGAGAGGCGAGTATATTTGTCGGAGAATTTGCTCGTCTTCGCCTTCAGACAAAACGCCAAATTCATTCTCTGCACGTAAAGCTTGTAGAAGCTTGATGATGTCTCCATTCGTGGGAGCCATTGAATCTCCGTCTGTCGACATCGTGGGCTGCGGGAGAGGTGAGTCCCATTGCAGAAGAGTTAAGTTGGAAGAGGTGAATCTAGATGCCGTGTTGAGGAGGTCGCTTACCACATCACGCTAATCGATCCATGAATTCCTTGAATTTGGGTTAGCGGATATGCAAGATGGCAGCTCCTGTGTGGATCTTCAGCCCGGAGGCACCCACCACTTTCTCATCTCTAAGCTTGGACCTTGGTAGCAGTAGAAATAGCACTATACTTAGTCATACGCACGGGGACCCGTATAGTAATAGAGCCACGGGTACCCGTGGGCCTATTGGCTCCCGAATCGCTCGCCTCACTCACTTACTTAAACGAGGTAGCCTTCAACATGCAGAAAAGTCGGTAAGTCGCCTTTGTTTACCTTCATCGAATCAAATGCAGCCATGCCGCTAACTGAGTTTCCAAACCTGTCTCTTGGACAACAATGCGCTTTGACAGTCTGCTTCACAATCCATAGCCTCGTAGGCTTGGTCCTTGGGTTCCAGACACACAGTTTTCAAGCCAGTTTTTGCCTTCCGAAATCGTCGATGATGGCTAAACACCCGATTATCCTGTATCTCATCACCGTCTGCGGGCTCTGTGTTGGCATCTCACTTCTACTGGCAATGTGGCTTAGTACAATGGAGCAGTCGGGACAGTTTGCCAACTGGGGAATATACACAGGACTCGTGTGGGATATTTTGACCGAAGTATGCCTCTCAGCATCTAGAGAAAGCAATCGGAATGACTGATATCGAGCCAGGCAGTCATTTTTGACATCTTTTTTGGCACCATTAGACTTGCATCGGCTGTACAATGGGCATCTGTCCTGATTGGCGCAATTCTTCTGACCGTTTGTCAATGTGTTGAGCTCGGGCGTCCGTCTTATCCAGCAGTGCTTTCTGTAGTTGGGTTCGTCTTGGTTCGGCTGGGCAAGCTGGCCGTATGGAGCATCGTACTATTCAGACTTGGCAAAGGAGCCAAAAAAAGTATCGTCGGTCGCACTTTTCGGAGAATCAATATTTAACTGCTAAGCGAGGTATTCGCTCTTACACTTGGGTTCGTGTCATTTATTCCAGTGATAGCCCCACGGTTGTGGACCAACTTGGTAAGGCAAGCCTGCGCCTCATCTTATAGTATGTGCTAACTCACTAGCTTTTACATTGTATTCTAATTCTTTCTAACGTGAAGTTTTTACTTGCTATAGTACCATGGATAATATGCAAGATGCAAGATGATGGTAATCTTACACCTCTTAGACCAAAGAGCGAACGCTAGCATGACGCTGGAATTTGCAACGGATTGCGGGTGGGCATGACGACGCCAACAGGGTCTGAGAATCAGCTTTTGGATGAGGCTGAAGGTGCCTAACGCTTGGGTCCAGTAACATCTCTCGCTTTCCATATAGCAAGTTTTACTCGCGGAGTGGTCACACAGCTTGAGTGCACAGACAATTAATTACTTTCTATCGTGTATAGTCAGTATGGACATACGGATCCCTTGATCTCTTTACGTATTGTATCGGCATTACGCAATTTACACTCTTTGTCAAATGCACATTTTGCTTCTGAGCAACGTGAGGCTACGTGAAGAGGAGGCGAGAGCACCGCCTTTTTGGCTCACCATGTCGGAATGAACTGCAGCCTATGAATCCGCCTCATCTGGTAGCCTTAATTCTCAGTTCGCGGCCAGAAAACAAAGGCCACTAATGGATGGCACACTAGACATGTTAGGGTAAATAGGGGGTTCTCTACGTGATTATTCTATACTACTGTTAAATCATCTGAGCAAACCCACCAGAATTTGCTCACCTGTAACTGCGATTGCTAATATGTCGGGAAAATTTTAAGAATATCGTCGCCTATACTTTTCCACTTGTTACTGCCACAACTAGGCTAGGGTGAACAAAGCTCCTTGCATTACTTATAGGGTAAGTAACACACCCTTAACAGGAAGGGGGACGCCCAAATATGGATGTTAATACAAGCTCTGGGCTGAAGGGCGAGATGAAGAGCAAGCTATCGACCATATACAACAATTAGTCCTGAACATAGAGATGGGAAGTCACCAAGCAGACAGATGGTAGCTTTTGGCACGGCGCTGCAATGGATGAAGGGATTACTTTCGGAATCAAAGAGGATATGGATCAGGCACTGTCTTGTGACAAAATAGTGGTGTACATCACGATAATATCTCCAGTCAACATGCCTTAGATACCAATATAAAGTGCTATAGTCGCATGCGACGATTTTCAACCCACTCTTTATTATGCTTTAGCCTCGCTATATACAAGAACATTATATATTTCGAGACAAAATTTTCTACTACAACAAAGTTTTCAATGTCTACTCGATTTAAACCCCAGACCGCGCATCTTTATGGAACCCAATTTATTCGGAACATACTGCCTAGATTCCCGGTAATGCAAGAACATGTGGTGTACCGTGTGATACAAGACTCTGGTAGCCCAATAGGTCATCTTCTTTGCTGTATTGGAGAAGTTATCGATTTCTTTGTATCTGGGAAGGACCCGGGGATATGGCTAGTTGATGACGAAGCTGCTGCAGCTGTCATCACGGCTCGACAGACGGAACCGTTGCATTTCATCATAACTGCAGAGCTACTTCATGCGATATTTGGACTTCACAGCCGATGTATGGCGTATGTCAAAAACGGCATAGATGAGGCCAGTATTAGGCTGGCACAGGTACCTGATGAAGACAGGGGCGAGAATTACCAGTTGCTCTTAGAGACATTCGCTAGAATCCAGATGTAAGTTGTCAATGGATGCAAAAGCAGATGAACGGCAAGCTAAGAGGTTAAGTGATTAATTCATGTTGCCATCGCAGCAAATGAAAGGACACGCGCTTATTCGAGCTACTCTTAATCACCATGTGTTGCCAGATATTGGACCTAGCCTGGCACAAGAGACATTGTGGTGTGTTGACCGTATTCAAGAAATAATAGAATTTTAGGCGGCCGATAATAGCCATAAGGACATTAAGAATATTGAGTGCCTTAAGACGAAGATACTTACAGGCTCTAACGAGTTTCAAGTTAAGCTTCTAACGGCTATACTCTACATTCCAGTTTTATATAACATCGAATGGAATGAGGTTATTGAAAATGCTATAGAATCGGCCATCCGACTTTTAGGCTGCCTACAACAACAGGAGAATATACATCGGGCTCGAACACTATCACTGTTAGTTTCTGATTATCTCGCTCTACATACTTGTGGCTAACTCTGTGGAAGGGAATACTATACGTTGAATCTTCTTCTTAATACGAGGGAACGCAAGAACAATCTGCGGGAAGTCATTAAACGTTATCCGCTGCAGTATCATCATAATGCAACCATGGAGTTTTTGACGAGCATGACGCTTGGCAGCCATAACAAGGAAGATCCAGTGGTATGGGCCATCAGACTTAGTAGAACGTAGGCAATATTGTTCAGTCTTGAGAGAATTTGCCACTCTGTCCTGAATTGCGATAGTGAGAATCCATCACAAGTGGCCTCCCACCTCGTCGATTGCACAGGAACCATATGCTGCATGCAGCTAGCCCGCGGAGCGTCAAGATTCCTGTGGCTATTAAATCAACTTTAAGGCTTTCTAATGCTGTCGGTGACCGGGCAGCCTGCGAAGTTAGGTCACAGAGAATTAAAGACATGTCTAGTTACCCCCGAGTTCCCAAGCCGAGAAGTTTCGATTTATACGCGAAACCGCCGCTATACCTAGAAGAATACGGTAGGACTGCTTGCATAGACGGCACTTTTTCGTAGAGCCTCTCTTTAGATATTGACTCGGAGGCGTGAGGTTTATGACTTGGTTTACGAGGGTCTGAATTCGGGTAGCAAAGCATTAGACGAGAAGGTACAGACGTAACTGACCTCCTCCCTAACTTTCTTGCAAGCATTTTTTATTTGCACTAACTCTGTGTTTCTTGTAGTATGTGGTGGAGCGGAGGACATTGGACTTACGGGGATCGAGGTATAAATTGCAGCGCAGCTCCTTCCGAGAAAGATCGCATTCTAAAGAGATATATCACACTGTTTGCAAAAACATACAACATCAATCTATTAGTTTGTTCCTTTTATTAGTTTCTCGCTTCTCAGAGCGCAGTGAACTGCAGTTTTTGTTACGCTGCTTTTCTATTTATTTGCTGACACGGTTTGCGTCATCTATCACTCTCCGTCCACGCTCGTCTAGTCATCTTCACGAAAAAATCGCGGACATGGAGTCGAGCCGAAGCGCCCCAAAAATTACAATACATGGCCACATTTCAAGACCTGGCAGGAAGTGCTCTGCGGCGGTGTACGATACAGCCAACGACGATTGGCATGGTGTAGAAGTTGAAGTAACCAGTGGCGGGGCTGAAGAAAAGACGACGGATATAACGTGGCAATCATACATAATTGAAGAACATCTCAGACATAGTTACGTTGACATTAGGGAAGATCCGGACCATGAATGGAGTGCGGATGTGACGGACTGCCCGGATAACTCGTACATTATTCGAATATGGCCGCGCAACAGGATGCTGTTTTACGGTCACAGATCCACTAACACATTCCAGTCCACAGCCTTGGACATAAAAAACCCGCACCCATTGGGTCACAGAGTTTACCGATGCTCTTGGAAAGGTCAGGAATGCGTGCTGAAGTACATTGAAACCGATACCGATGTGGGTGCGATTGAGCTCGAAATCGAAAAACGAAAAGATCTTATAAACAAGGCACAGATACCAGTGAACCAAGTCAATTCGGAAATGTCCAGACGCTTCTGTCTCGTTCCCATTCTCGCCGTTGTTGTGGCCGATTGGCAACCCACAAAACCCAAGACAATTGTGGGCATCCTCATGCCTTATGCCGGCGAGGATTTGGGTATCTTGGCAAAGAATAGTGGAGGCAACCTACCCATTACACTTCAACAACTTCAAGACCTAGTCCGAGGCGTTCGAGAGCTTGGGAAGTACGAGATTTTCCAGGGTGACATAAGG